AAAGAAAGCGAGTCATATCGGAAGGAAAAAGTGCGGAAAGGCTGGAATAGAGCCGGATCGCACCGAATTCTACTCTATCCTCGATCGGCCGATCTGAATAGGCCGATCCTTGTGAAGTTTGGAGATACCCTCATGGTGCACGAGAGACAGCGAAAAATCGGCGTATGAATACAACACTCAATATTATCAAGTGGCTTTTTTGTCTAACAAGGTTCAGGGAAGGCCCATGGCGTAACTGGGAAAGCAGGAACAGAAGAGGAGTTAAACTCCCACAAAATCCCCTCGCTTCCTATTAGAATGATGGCGTGGAGAAACCCACGAAAAAAAAACACTCATCGGGACAAAGTCTTCCTCGCATCACTTCCACTGTTTACCTGGTTTTTGATTCAAAAACAAAATGGCGTGGACAAGCTCTCCACCACAATTTGAACGAAACATCAAACACCAAGAAACCTCAAACTTCGAAACCTCGCTCGAGTCGAGCGCTCGAGGACCAGCCGAGGACGATACTCAGCACACGCGCCGCGACCGCGCGCCGCTGCCGAGGCGGATCTGCTCCCCACTTGGCGCTCGATAATTTCCCAACCCTGGAATGTTATCGATCCACTTGCTTGACTCATCGCATCACCTTGGGTCACCTACTTAATTGCTCTTTCATGTGTCATTCTTAAAGCCTCTGCTGTCAATGTGCACTTTTTGCCGGCGGTATCTGTTTTTTATGTTATTTTGTATTGGATCCTATGAATGCAGTGCTACATTATCGTGTTTTTCTTGATCGTGCATGCCGCTTCATCTCTTCTTACCTCTTTCTTTCGAGTTTGATGAGATTCTAAACCTTCGTATTTAGTACCAATGACATCTGCGGTACAGTCTGCGCCATCGGGAGATGTGCTCGATAGAGCGATGATTAAAGATGTGGACCAGTGGATCGAACAACTTTATGAGTGCAAGCAACTTAGTGAAAATCAAGTCAAAATCCTTTGTGAGAAGGTGAGCAATTCACTAGCAAAGTTTGTTCTTGATGTTTGAATTTACGGTATGATGTCGATGAAGATAAGCTTTTGTAGTTTAATCGAAGTTTTATTTGCAACTCAACGATTTACTGTCTTCTTTTGTTTTGACTTAGAATTATGGCCGTTTTCCCAGGATCATTTTATTGAGAAAAATCGGAACACCTTCAATAACGTCAGTGTTGTAAATCACAGCAATGACGGTGTCAGACAGTTTTCTTATCCGTACCATATAAAATGATGTATTGCACTGACATTTGGGACAAAACTAAATCTCTCATTGAAGGAAGAAAGCAAAAATTAATTTTTAGTTATGTTCGAATTATTTTTTGCCACACTCTATTTCGATTATCACAGCGAAATTTCTATTCTTTGAATGCTTTACAACTGGTCACGACTTTTATACTTGCCATTTTGTACTCTCAAACGGCT